TGTTTCTCCGTCTTTACGAAAAACAATCTGGGATTTCCCCGCATTTGCCATTTAATGTGGTAGTAGTTATCCCCAACTTTACCTTTGAGTGCTAAGAAAAGATCTTTGTTTAAAATTTTCACAGTTTTTATTCATGGGGTTGAAAGGAAGATAAAGTGCAAGAACAAACTTAGCATAATCAATCTCAATATTACATTCAGGTTTGTGTTAATTTACTGTTCTGTCATTTGTGATTATCCTTCATTTTTCACAAAACCAACACTGCATTAGTATATTTATTATATAGCTTGTATTGCGTCTTTGATATATTATTATATTACATGTAATATTGTCCTTTCCCTCTCTTTCATTCTAACATCTGCCTAGACACAACATCACCTTTTATTGTACAACAACATTGTACAAAGTAACAGTTACAGATGYTATGCTAAGGTGCAGTGGAGAGAAAAGTGTGCTTGAGATATAAATTTACGGAGAGTAAGAAAACTTATGTTTGGTAGAATATTTCTTTGTAACAATGCTTCTTGGCAAAAAAATCTTATACTGTTGGAAAGCCTGTTCATTTCCCTTTTAAATAGTGTCACATTTGTAAGGAACATGCATTTKTGGGATGAGCAGTAGAGCTGAGTATGTGGGTTGCGCACATGAAAATATTGCCAAATCTTCTCTGCCAAACAACTTCTGTTGCYGTTGCTGCTGAAACTTGTTTTGAGCTTCTGGTCCCACCAGGTGCTGCCAATCAGGTGCCCGGAAAAATATTTACTGCCAAGGAGCGAGCATTGTCACAACAAAAAAATAATCTAAATTTCCTTACATTTTGTGCTAATTTTGAGTAAATTGCTATATTTTGACCTGTGAAGGTAAACTATAGCAGATATGTTGTTTAGTAACATATTAGTGAGTAAAAAAAAATACATTTTACATTTGCAAACCATGCAGATTTTTGTTTTTGATAGTGTTCACTTGGCTGTTTATCAGATCTATTTYATGCATAAGATTGCTCAGTTGGACAGTTTTTTGTCCCTTTAACACAAACTACAAGGTGGTCTGTGCAAAATGTCAAGAGGCTCAGGTGGCTGCCTAAGTAAAAAAAAAAAAATCTTTAAAGGTAATGTTCTTTTTTTAATSTATTACCGCTGAAAAGATAATGGTATCAGATGAAATTGTAGAAACAAATAATGCAAGCTTTACGCTTTGTACATTGTAGTGTACAATCATAAGAAAAAGTGGTGTTAAATGGCATTTTTTTATTGAACGTTGTGTAATCTTGTAACAAAAAAGCAGCTTATTGCCTCGGCAATTTAGCACTTCTATTGATGCTCGGYTCCATTGATTTCCTCTTTTTAGTCAGAGGGGTAGAAAGGAATGGAAGTCTCGGTACGAGAAGGTCTCTCTCTGAATAAGAATTGTGGAGCGCTCGGCACAAGAGTGAGGTGCTGCATGAACAATAACTGCTGCTGCCGCCGCACATGGGACTGCGCTCTGGACTTAGCGTGGGCATTTCAGAGCACATGTGCTGCAGCCATGTTCCAGCAGGTAATTGCAAACACTTAATGAGACTCTGGAAATATTGAATTCCCGTTGGCTTGATGTAAGACACAAAGAGACACGCTGGCTCTGTCTAAAAGCTCACTTAAAAGCTTCCAATCGTTAACATGCTGTATGGGTGTAATGTGAACAGATAGCRCCGGCTCTCAAGTTGAAAATATCAATAAATAGCAAAGGTTTTAGTTCTATAAAAGATTTTGAAAAGGTTTAACACAAAAAGCATCCCTCAATAAGCCTCACTTAGATTAAATCGATGATAGGACCGTGTTTAAAGTGCTAATTGTGAGATTGTTGGTTTTAATCTGAGCTTTATCTTTTCGATTAAACGGCTCACATTCATTACGGTAAAAACCTGCATTCCTGTTGGATCTAATAAGTACCTTACTCCTAAAATCTTTTGAGTTAAAYTTCAGATTTTTTCTTTCTGATATTGCATTTACTGTTCTATAGATCTTTTATTTTATGTTTTAAATACCTTTTTTTTTTTGCAGGGCTCACATTTGATGAAAAACACATTTCTATATATATGGAGAAGGCATGAGAAATGGTAAAAGTCCCAAGCATTGTCTCTTTGARAAGACATGATTACCTATGAAGACCATGTTTCTCCCATCTGTGACCAAATTATGTGTGCTGGAACGAAGGGCTTCAACTGAACCGTAAAGAATAAAATGGCCAGGAATTAATGATTTTTTTTTGAAGCTTTATACTGTATATTTAGGTCAAATATCAAGTAATTTAAAACTTGTGACATGAAGATTATTATGTTGGATCTGAAAGTTTTTCATTAAGGTGGATACATCAGCATGATTTATATTTCTGGAGAGTTCATCAAAATTTTATGACTTGGTTTTGTTGTTGTTTGCCCCGCAGCCAAAAGGCACAGTGATCTTAACACAAGGTAGATTAAGACTTGTTTAGGTGGAATTAGCATATTCCTAGTGTTAATATGACTTTGTTGTGGTTACTTTAATATCCCTCTGCCATGCAGGTCAGATGAATCTGATTTGCTAAGTTGCTTAAAAGTATGCTTAATTAAGTTTGGATCAGCAGGATTTCACTAAAGAGTAAATCGAAACTACATAAACAAACTACTTACTTTTGTACAACTTGGCCTTGAAAATATGTAACTCAACATATTGTTCTRAGCTGAAACTTTAAGTGAAAATTTACAATATTCAAATCTTTGTCGTTAGATTTTTTTTTAAAATCAGCATTAAATTATTCTTTGGAGGTGGATTGTGTAAGACATATAAAACAATACTTTGTTTATTGATCAGTTTTTTTTTTTTCAAATTAAAACACTACAATCAACCAAATCATAGAACTTAAATAATTTTAACTGACAAATGCAATAATGTATTTGATGGGTAACAGTAATGTTTTCTTGTGATAATTCTTACAGCTGTTTTCTGTAAAACAAAAATAGCATTTGTAAATGTTTTGCATGCTTTACCCCAGACTTCAATAAAGTAAATAAGTGTGGAACAATTATTGCATTATACAACATTAACAGAGCTTTATTGTTGAATAACTCTCTTACTTTGTACAGTACTTTTGTTCCTAAATAATTTACGTGAGATTTCTATGTTCGCTTTTCATCAATGATGACACCCAGAAACTTCACCTCACTGACTCTATAACTCTCAACACCATCAACTCTAAATGGAAAATAATTCTCTTTCTGTTACTGAATATCATATAGTTAGTTTTCTCTAAATTTAATGACAATTCAAGTTTAAACTGAGTTTGTATTTTTACAAATTCTGTCTGTGTCGACTTCAACATTTGTTCTATCTTTACCCAAACAAATAAATGCAGTATCATCTGTAAATAGAACACATTTAAAAAGCACTGACACATTTACCAAGTCATTCACATTAAATGGGCCAAGTACAGAACCCTGTGAAACTCCACATTAGATATTACATAGTTCAGATCTTACATTTACTTGTACAAACTGTTTCCTATCTTTGTCCTCTAATGCCATGTAGCTTTTCAAGGAGAATGGAGTGGTCAATAATGTTGAATGCTTAAATCAACATAAATTAGACAGCTCAACAGGCAGGCCAACATCCGTAAGTTGTTTAGTAAGTGGCTCAGGAGAACACTGTGGAAATAATAGCTCATTTTTTCTTATGCAATCTACTYTCAAATAGAAATGAAACAAAATTGGCCTTTTGTGAAAACAGTGTTTGTGGTCCTTGTGTTACATTAAAACTCAAAGCTCTGATGTTAGTTATTTTCAGTAATTTGTTTGTTATTGTCCGCTCTGCCTACAGGCAGCATCCAAGGTCATCTACCTTTGTCTTTTCTGGGCCAACATCTGGATGGTACTTCAGATGTTGTTTAGGGTCTCTGTACCACTCATCACCTATAGGCACATGCCCAGTTCACCTTCACGTCATGGTGGTGGTCTCCATGCTGCCTTGACAATGACAAGCAGCTGTTCATTTGAGATGGTGTTGGACCAGAAGGCTCTTTGTGGGAAAATAGAATCTCTTGTTAAGTTCACTGGCAGTCATCAAACACTCTGATTCAGTGTAGACAGAACACAGAGCTTTTGCTTTCAGTAATTTATTTCACATTATTTCATTCAGAATATCTAATATTGATGAGCCTCTTTGTTTTTATTTTCCTTCTTTGTTGGTTTATTTTTTATATTTATGTTTTTACTTTTTCATAAGTATCATCACAGCCAAAATTTCTCAAAAAATAAAAAAAAGACAATCTGAAAAATTGTTTGAGATCTTTGAATGGTAATAAAGCATGCCATTTTTTTATTTTTATATTTTTGGTCTGTGCCAAAACAAATTCACTAAATAAAACAGACTGGCTGTAGTTATCAAAAGCTAATTAATAGCTGTCTCCCCACACAAGAAACATTATTTCTGTTGAGCAAACTATGTTGATGACCCATGTTGTAGTGCAGAGGTGGGCAATCCTGGTCCTCGAGGGCCGCAGCCCTACAGGTTTTATGTTTTTCCCTGCTCCAACACAACTGATTCAGACATTAAATTACCTCTTCCAAGTTCTGCCGTATGGAGGACCCAAACTGACATAACTAGAAAAAAAGCAGAAATATATAAATGGACCAATAAATAAATTAAATTAAAAATGCACAATTAAATTAAAAAAGGAGAGCTTTACCTCACGTTTTATTATTTAATTGACCTCCATATTTATTTTTCCAACTTAGTTCCAACAACTAATAAAGTTTTGCACATAATTTACATTTTACTGTTTTACTGTATATATATTATACAGTATACACACACACACACACACACACACACACACACA